TGATTGGGGAAAGGTTTAAAGAAACATTTATATATCTACTCATGAATAAATTCATGCTTGTAATGATCAGCGCGTATTATAAATAAAACATATATAAATGCTCGCAATTATCAAAAATACGCATATTTATAAATTATTTCATTTCACAATTACTCAAAAAGTTTCATTTGTGGGCAACATTTCATGATTGTTTACTTTTCTGAACAAAATAGTCTTAAAAAAAGAAAAATAAATAGTCTTTTTTTTGCTTTAATTTGGATAATGCACCTCCGATAAATATCGAAAACAACAATAACGTATCTGAAAGCTGGATGACGGAGGGGGAATGATCCTTTTATTTCATTATCTTATCATCGGACAAATGTTTTCATTCTTTTTTTTCTTTCATCATGTTGTCATGAGTTTCTTCTACATCTCTCTGTTCTATAATTAAAATATTTTTTTATCGCGATCTGCATTTTTATTAACCGGTGAATGCATTGAATTTGGAAAACATAGACAATTTTAAGAAAACGATTGTTTCAATGGAAAAGGGACAAAAAGAAGAAAATACTTATTGGAATTTGTTGCGAAATAGAATATCTTTAAACAGTTGTAAATGTATTTTTAATGTACTAAGTTTGTAAACTGTTGAATATGTAGCATTCACAGAAATAAGTAAATATATTTCACGATATATTAAGTGCACAAAATACTACCAATACATATATTATAAATACAATAGATAAAAATTAGCATGTATTTTCAAAAACATTGGTATATTTCTTGAGTACGCTCAGTGTTTATCCCAAACAACCAGATACTTGTAAAGTTAGTCCTATAAAAAAAAGTAGTTATAAAAGTGTGAAATATATTCTATACTAGCTGGTATACCCGTTCTTCGCACGGGTGAACTGAAAAATTAAACAACACAGATTGAAGGATAAAGAAGTTTTTAATGAGTTAATTTTACGTGAATTGCAAATTAAACAAAAAAAGCTTTCGGCGTAACTCAGGTAACAAAAAAAAAAAAAAAAAAGAGAGAAATAAAACACCTTTGTTAAATTTTAAGTATGTAGGTCTAATAGCTGATAAAAAGGATTTTTTTTTATTTATACCTCCCCGTAACACTCTTGAGGGTTGATTTTTGAAAATACATTCCTAAGCTGATCTCTGCTCAGCAAAAGTAACACATTGTTAAAAGTTTTGTGTAATGAACGCTTAAAATAGTGTAAATAATTTTTATCTGAAACTATAATACATTAATATTACTTTCTGTAGTATTTATTTTATGTTAAAATTGTAATATTCGCAAGCAACGCTGTTTCTTAAATTATAATGACGATCCAATGAAAAACATAGCGAAATTTTAACGATAGAGTCAAGTTGGCACAAATGCCTAGCTACTTTCATAACTCGAGCTTTATTAGAGCTTTGTAAGACCCACCCTGTAGGGGAGCGATGCACGTTAATACTTTATCCACCGCATAATGATTTACTGCAGTTTTTTTCATACAATATTTTTTTGGATCACTACATTGAAAAAATTAAGGGATATACATAAACAAAATACTCCAATTGAATCCGTTAGAGCTAATAAATTAAAGATATTCCACTGTAAAATTAATTATATATACCGTTCACTTAAAATAAGTAGTTAAATCATTTTCTAAGGTCTTCATTAACATACAAAAACATAAGACACTTAAATTTTGACAAACTATTTTTTTCCGCTAAAATACTCATCATGGAACCCGTGCTGCCATATATCTTGGAAGAGTGGATTTCAAAGAATATCCCTGCTAATTATTGGTAGAATATTCTTTCTAAGTTGGTGTGGTGTGGTAGTTAGGAGAAAGGGATGCCAGCTCAGATGTCGTCCACGTTACTTGAGTATGGTTCAAAATTACGTGATCCGTTGTCAAAAGCCCTCGTGTAGCTGAACAGTGCAACATTAATATTCACTCACTCTCACACTCCAGGAAATACAGAACAATAATTATTGCGTTTTTAAGTGTAAAAATAATTATATCTGCCTATTCAATTAAAATTATAGCGTTATAATTAACTACTAACCACAAATAAATTTTGAAAATTTGTCCAAATGATGCAGTGTGAAAGAGAAAGCTTATTTGCTTTAAGTATCAGAACTGATAAAAGCATTTATTTGGAAAAAAATCAATTCCTTACTACCAAATGTGCATAATAAGATGTTACAAAAAACATTAAAATAAAGAGAGATTTATAACAACCTCTCCCTTCAAAACTTAGTTTGATTCTGAAATAAAAAAAAATAGGCATTATATCAGAGGAATTAATTAGAAGCGAGCACCTTGCGTAGCCAAAACAAAAAAGGTTTTTCACAAACAACAGATAGATATATACAGACGTGGGTTTTTTTTTTGCAGCGCATGCCAGAATTGCTAGCAGAAGACAGAATTTTTTCCTACTTACTTGACAAATATCGTTATATTTTTTTGACACTTTCCCAAATTTTTATAAATTATAGCCTATGGTATAAATTATAGCCTATGTGCTATTCTGATGTATAAGCTATATTACTGTAAAGTTTCATTAAAATCCATTCAGTAGTTTTTGCGTGAAAGACTAACAAAGATTTTTTCACAAACTTTCACATTTATAATATATATATATATGTATATATATTAGATTAATTATACTTGAATTATTCATATGCGGAAAATAAATTCATATTTCTGAAACTAACTAGAGACTGACGCATTGCAATAATGAACTTCAAAGAAGCTATTAAATTTTGCCAATAAAATTTGAAAATTATCATTCCTTGCATGTAATCTGTTGCAGCAACAGAAGTGTAAGCAAAACTTTTGGGAATAATGTGCTGGAAATTCTACTCACAAAGCTAAGTTTAGAAGGCTAACGTTAAGATTTTTTTTTCAAATCCAAAAGCTTTATTTATGTAACATAGATGAACATGGAATCTTGTTTGTTCCCTTGTTGAAAATGTAGACCTTTTTCACAGAACCATGTGTCTCAAATCCATTTGATTGCTTCTACTTGCGTGATCCTCAACATTACCCCGCGCAAATATTTCACTAAGAGTTTGTTTCCACCGAGTAAATGTTCTCTTTTATATAGTTCTAATAGAAAAATTTTTATGGTGTACATAAGTCACACAAATGATCGTAGATCTCACTTAGTACGTGACTACATTACTCACGTAATAGCTATCATTAGCATATGAAACTATGTAATATAATGTTTACAACATCAATTCATTTTATTTGCTGTATTTATTTGTCACTCTATTAAATTAATATACCCCACGGCATTTCTCTCTTAATAAAGGATTGTTTTGGGTTACATTTGTTACTGTTTAACTGTTATTACATGTATGTTAACTTCAAATCTTTAAGTAATTTCATTGACAATTTTATCATTCTTCCTGGCTTATTTATCTGCTTCTTATATTGTTAAGAATTTATAATTAAATATGGTTTAAATGTCAAAACAAAGTTCAATATCAGTAAGTTCAGTTAAACCCCATAATTCAGTCTTCATTAAAATGCGATTTGTTATGAAAATTGTGTTGCTTTTTGTGCAGTTATTATCGTATAATTCAAATGAATGCAAATGGATCAAGTGAAATTGGTTTTCTGAAAAGAAAAGTACCAACCAATTACCGATAATTTTTATGAAATACCAGTTTAATTTTCAAAATATAATCCATTTTAATAGCTGTTGGAATGACTGATGTATAAACTGTGAAATGTTTTCAGTTTTAAGAATTGCTCAAATATTTCGCTATCTCCATTTACTTGGCGTTCAGTTTTATGCTTTATTAAGTCCCGATGCTGTGCAATTCGAATATATTTTGGCAAATAATGAAATATTATCAAAAAAAAACCTTTTAAGTGTATTAACTTAATTAAAAAGTGCTTTTTTTTGTGTCGAAAAAATTATTTGTGCTCCGAACGAAATTTGTTAACTTATTCCAATTCAACACGAAAATGGCTCATTCTGAAATTCTTTTGGGGGCCAGGAACCATATTAAAGTTCCATTGAAAAATTGTAACATCCATAATATATCTTCAAACGAAGTTAATTTTATCTTTCATCTGAAGACGTGTTCTCGACTGTAATCGATATTTTTATGAATTATTTGCGTTAATTTCTGATATTTATTTTTTATTTCCTCCTTTCTCAGATAAAAACGAAACAATTCTAACAAAAAAAAAGAATGTGGGGATTGTTAATGTAATGTAATCAAACTTTATTTATGAAGAGAATATAATTTTAAAAACGCATTATATATATGTAAGTATATATATGCGCGCGTCAATTTTTTTAAAGAGAATTTCTTTTGATCTCTTTATCCAGTTCTGATTTAATATGGGATTTATCAAGGCACTCTCAGCCGTTATTTATTGTAAATGAAATAAATTATTTTCTTCAGTTATCTGATTTTTCAGTAATACTTTGAATCTAAGAGTTTCGTCTAAAACATTGTAAAATTAATCATTTTACTTTCCAAATTATTCCAATCAACAACAGAGATTCGTAGTTAAGAGATTAATAAAAATATTCGTATTATTTCCATCTTTCAGTAACAATTTCAGTAAAATATATTTATGAAATTTTCTGCAAAGTAAAAAATAGTTTTGTTGTCGATTTTTTAAATGAAATTCTTATTGATTTATTTATATACCTGGGATTTTTGTCATTGCACATTCTAAAAGCGTTCTGTGGAATGACCCGCTTTGCCAGTTCCTTGCTCAGAGGAACTCTGACTTGTTCCGAATTCCTACTATTAGTTCACTCTCTCCCTATATATATCTTGTTCAAATTTTCAATTGTTAATAAAATACTTTTCATCCATTCAAGTTCAAATACGTTTTTTTTAAACTTGTAGTGGATGACACTTGATGTTAATACAGTTTTTTCAAATATTAATTCATTAAATAAATTTAAATGAATAAATAGCAACAAACAAAAATAATAGTCCAATAGCATATATAGAAAGGAAAATCGTTCGTTGTGTCCCTGTATAGCAATGAATTGCGCGTTGAACTTATAATCCAAAGGTCGTGAGTTCGAATCCCACCTGGGATGGCCTAATTTCTGAGAATATGATTTCTTTTTTACTGTACTATTTTATTAGAATAATTAAATTTAATTTATGAATAAATAGTAACAAACAAAAATAATAGTCCAACACCCTATACAGAAATAAAAATGGAAAATTGCTTTCTAATTTGTCAGTTAAAATTGTGATTCTGTCATATGTATATATATATATTTATATTAATTGTAACTATTCATTAAAAAGTAACTAAAATAAAATTTTTCTTTGTTGACCTAAGTAGCAGTTGACTTATTTTTTTTTTACATTACTTGTTATATTCTAGAATGGTTATTTTTTAAGCTGGGGGAAAAAGTGCAAAATCAAAAATTACTATTGCATCGAGAATAAAATTAATTGTTTTTCTGTTGTTGTTTTTTCAATTTTAAGGGTTAGACAAAAACATTTGTATTGTTTGTTTTTTAATTGATTGTTTTTGTTCCCATTTTTGAGAAACAAATATTCCAAAAGTATATTTTCTCTTAAATTGGTTTATTTAGTTTTCTCAAGAATTATTTCTGAGAAACGTTCGAATGGTTACTTTTTTTCTCGATTCATCATGAAAAATTCGCTGTGTTAAATCGTTCTTAATGAACTTTTACTAATGAGAAATTTAAAGTTCTCAGTTTCAAAAAGAAAACAGTACTTTTTTTTTCTTTGTATCTTGTCTTTTAAACTGAACTGATTAATTAACAGAATTTGTTTTAGGAAAGATAATATTTCTTGAAACTGAAGAAAAATTTTATTGTATCTAATTTATTTTTTTATTTTTTTCCTCTCTGCAGTATTCATCAATTATTGTTTTTATTACATAATAAATGTTTATCAATTTAAAAATAATTATAATTGAAGACATTATTAATTGAGCAATTAGATGAGGAACAGAACGATTTTTTTCTGAGGAACAAAATAAAAAGTTATTTTTCTTTTATTTCATTTTCAAGAATTGTAACTTTTTTGGTTAATGATTTCCTCAGAAATAATTTAGAATTCCCCTTTTGAGATGCAGTTTTTATTGTTCGTGGACTTTTATTTATCTATTTTTTTTTAACTTTCTAATTTAGGGTAAATAAAATTGAGCTCCTTTGTTTTATAATGTTTTTTCTTAGTACTTACCCAAGCTTCGCAGTTACTTAATTTAAATATTTATGCTCAGTAGCGAATGCTCTTTAAAATTAACGTGGTTTCATTTTATAAGAGGCTGGAGATATTTGTGTTTTTATCTATTATGAACAAATATAATATTGATAAGTATTTTTATTATTAAAAACTTGGATTATTCTCATGATTTAATTTAAAGCTTTCACAAAGCAATCAAAAATCTATTGCGGATTTGTGCTAAAGTATTAGAGGTAAAACATTTTGCTTCACAATTGCTTCCCTTGAAAGAAGTTGACGTGGTGTAAAAGTTCGGAGAAAGGGGTGCCACATACAGCTCAGGTGTCGTCCTCGTCACTTGACTGTGGCTCAAAATTACGTGCCTATTCACTAATAGTTCTCGTGTTACTTCACAGTGCGACGAAAATTTTAATCAGCTAATCTATCTTTTGAACGAAATGTTTTAGCAGTAATAACCTAAAAAGTACTTTTTATTTTAAAATTACAGTAGTACCCCTCAAATTTACGCGATAAATGGGACTGAGTGTTAACCGCGTTAGTCGAGGTATGATTTTGCATGTAAATACATATAAATTATTTTTATTTGGGGACGAAAACGAAAGAAAATAATAATTTAGGGGAAAAAACGTTTAGTAAAGTTTTAGATAACACACATACAAAATCGCAAACTGAAATTATTTTGATTTAGAATATTTCATTAATTCTAACTGAGTTGTCTGCCAGCTCAAAAGAATTTTTTTTCTCCAGCAAAATTTCCTCTCAGCATGTTCATTTTCTTATTTCCTGTTTTGTTGAAAAAATTACTTTCATCATATTGTAGTCTACATTTTCAAATACTTGTAGCCGTTTTACAATTCAACTGAGGCCTTCTGTTGAATTCCCAACCGTCATTTAATCTTCTTTTTCAACTGGGTCTAAAGACTAAAGCTCTTCAATGTCTTGCTCTTGCATTTCTATGAGCTCATCAATTGTCAGCTCCAGTAGGATCCAGCAGTTCCTAAACGCCACTACTACCCACTTCTAAATTTATTTGCCTGGCAAGATCGGTAGCTTCTTCAATCACAATACTAATTTCGCCAATTTTACCAATTTTTTCCCCTCAAACAAAAGATGAATCGACGAGATTTGAAAACCCGCGTAACGCCGGGTTCACGAAAGTCGGGGGAGCGTAAGTCGAGGTATTACTGCATTTCCGCGGCTTTTGAATCGTTGTTAATTTATTGCTTTAAGAAACATCAATTCAAATAATCAACTGCAGTAACCTTTTGTTAATGTTTACAGTTACCATTTAAAAAAATTCAAAAGAAATTATTTTCTGAATTATCCTCAAATTATTCAATTTTAAAAAAGCAATGTAAGGACAATTTTTCAAACAAGCAAAGTGATATGCATTTTTATCGATCCCAAAACTGTTATTTATTTTCCCCACATATACTTCAGGAATGAAGTGTAGGAGGAGGGGAATTTAAGGAAATTAAAATAATACATTTTTGAATATTAAAAGTTTTTCTTAAAAAATACACAACACAAAATTTACCTTTTTTTAAAAAAAATAAATTAGGGAAAAAAAAGCGAAAGGTAGGTAATTTCTTTTTATTCTATTTTATCTTCAATAATTAAACATTTCAATGAACTCTTGATATGTTTTGTAATGAAATAAGATTTCGTGATGAGTTAAATGCTACACATAATTTCTTTAAGTGTCAAATTGGAGGCGTGGGTGCTAAGGCACCCTTGGGGCAGCTTTCGAGGAGCACTGGAGAGCAAACACGAAGTACGGTGAGAAATTGGTTCTCGTACAGGGATTCATGCCCGCAACTAATGTCTACAATTCAATATTTATCGATAGTATAGTAAATACGACTGTTTACTTAAATGCTGTAAACAAAGTTTAACCGCTAGGGCATGACATTGATAACTCACGCAGTGTGATTTCTGCATATTTGAACAAGGTGAGTGAGTTGTGCTATGTCCCTAGGCGATTGGAAACTTCACTCGATTTTATCTATTCCCAGTATTTGGGTGTAGGAAGGGAATCAACTTCGAAAACTGAGCAAATAGGAGAATTTATCTGCCCGGGAGAGATAGCTGACTAAAATTTGGTGTCTAATGAAGCTGAGTTATTACGAAACAGTAAATAAGTCTTAAATTGCTTTTTTTTCAATAATGAATTTATTAAAATGAATAAAAGATGACTTAGTTGTTTGTTTAAAGATATTTTAATCTTTTTATATTAAAATCTATTCAGTAGGAGGAAAAAATTGAAACAAATATAAATATATACTGTATTTATTCGAATCTAAACTGCCATCGATTCTAAACAGCACCTCCAATTCTCTACACGGTTCCGAGAAAAAAAAATTTAAAAAATGAGTACAAGGTTCATCTATATCCGATACTTGAGAATTTTTTTAAAAAAAAATTATAATGAGAAATAATAAAAGAAGTTAATAATTAATTTATTGTTCCAGTATTAAAAACATTCAAAAACATACTTGAACCCATAATTACTATAACAGTCAGTATCAAGTGTGTCGAAAATGATTCATTACTCCCATTGTCACAGCCGACTTCGGTATTGGTGCCGACGTTGCCATTTTCCCTCACGGTGTCGTCTTCCGTGCCATTCAAAGCATAATAGAACATTTTAGAACATTTTTTTCCCTTTAAAAGAAAATGCATTATAGAAGAATGTAAAAAAAAAAAAAAAAAAAAAATATTGGACTGTTGAACCTTTACAAGTAAAAAGTATATCATATTTGTATGTCATGTATGATACAAAAAATGTCGCAGGAAAATAACGAAATTAGGAATTTCATGAAATCCCTGAGGGATAGGATCAATTCACGCAAGTTGTTAAAACAATGTCTCTTCAAGGCATTTCCATGATGACAGTAAGTGATTTTATCAAACCCTGAACTGTTTCAGTGAAATGAACTAGATATGCATTGGCTAAATGCTGTCCAGGGGGGTGGGGTCGAGTCCTTGTACTTCCTAACCATACAGGTAGTACTATCGATCCCCTAAATATCAACCCCATATCTTTAAAAAAAATGGCTGACTTGTTAATTTCATCATTTCACTGAAACAATTCGGGGATTTGATCACATCACTTACTTACATAAAGGAAATTACCTCAAAGAGACGTTATTTTAACATCTTGCGTGAATTGCAGCTTAGGGATTCGATGAAGTCCTAATTTCATCATTTTCCGGCGACATATACATATATTTGTTTAATGCATGTCAAATTTTCAGTGGCAGTTGTTCTGTTTCCGTTTCTTTCTGCATATAAAATTATACCTCTCTTTTCATACTTGCGCCATAGTGAGCTCGATATTACCGATATCTTTGATGTTTAGGTGATTAAAAAAAAAGCTTACACAAAAGAATTTCCTAAATACTGGCACACAACGATGTTTAGGATAGACTGAATGCTGAAGATAAACCGAGGAATGGGATAAGTCATCGGTGCAAGTGGCCAGAATGGACAGCTAGGAAAGGGGTGGAAACTTAATTTCCCCCTATCAACAAATGTTTTGCCCTAGATTCTAAGCCCCACCCGATTTTCAGTAGCATTAACACTGGACAAATAGTGCAGCTTAGAATCGAATAAATACGGTATATGAAAAAATATCTAACATTCAAAGGCATACTAGCTCCTTACAATTTGTAACTAATATTGTGACGAATCTTTACGGAACCTTTCAACTAATACTCTTAGGCGTCTTTGGGGATTGTAAATTCGCGTATATTTCCAATCACCTCTAAAAGAAGAAAATGGGATATGTAAAGCAGATAAGGTATTTAAGAAGAGCGTTGTAGGTTAGCGTAGAAGAAGGCGATTGAGCCAGCAGAAGTAGCGACGAGAT